AGCTCAGCAGGTCTGGCAGCATCTGTGAAGGAGAAAACAGAGTTAACATTTCTGGTCCATTGACCCAAAACTTCTGAGGAAGGGTCACCAGACCCGAAACGTTAACTCTGTTTTCTCCTTCACAGATGCTGCCAGACCTGCTGAGCTTTTCCAGCAACTTTGTTTTTGTTCCTGAGTTATAGCAACCGCAGTTCTTTTGGTTTTTATCATTACTAGGACTTTCGGGAGCTGGTACAGTCCCATTTGCTCCCTCTGAAAGCTAGAGTAGAACTCCTAGTCTGCACCCACAGACTGTACATAACATTAGCAGAATGGGTGGAGCCAAAAGAACATAAACATTAACCCCTTGAAAACCAGGAGAGGGTGATTGGTGTCCAATGCTCCGGGCAGGTTTTGAGATCCCTGTGGTCTGGCCGTTCAGGGTGTGGGTTAATTTTAAAGTTAAAGAGGTTAGAGAGAGGCTGCGACCACCTTTGGGGGTTGCCGGAAAAGGCAGTCTGCAGGTTCTAGAGTGTGGAAGTCCTATGGCTGACCTTCCAGCCTTGAGAACCCGCCCACTGCCTTTCATTCACACTTCCTCCCTGTATACTTGATCACTTTGGGGAAACTCACAGCCAGATGATTTCTCCTCACATTGTGCAAACCTCTGACCTCAAATTATTGCTGATAACACGAACCTTAAGCCTAACAATAGCTCTAACCTAACCGTAACGTTAACCCTCACCCTAATCCTAACCCTGACACTGTTGGCATTGCAGACCCTGACTGTTTACTTGACCTCAGCTTTCTTCCACACAAAACCATCCTCCAGCTGTACACCCCGATTGAAGGAGCATCAGGGTTAGGGTTAGGGTTAGGATTGGTGTTAGGGTTAGGGTTAGGGTTAGTGTTGTGGTTAGCATTAGGGTTAAGGTTACAGTTAGGGTTGGGTCAGGGTGAAGGTTATGGTTCAGGTTAGGGTAAGGGTTGGAATTGGGCTCAGGGTTATGGTTGGATTTGGGGGTTATTAAGTAGTGTAAATTAGATGTACATAATCATGATCTGTCGGTGATCCACATAGGGAGATATTAGGAACAAAATTCCTGGTCAAAAAGGTATTTTGCGTCTTAATTGAGGAGAAAGAGATAGCAAGACAGAAAGGATTAGGGAGTGATTTACTGAGCCAGGAGTCGGGCCAAATGACAGCATGGCTGCCAATGATGGAGCAATTAAAATCAGGGATGTACAAAATGCCAGAATCGGAAGAGAGCTTGGAGAATTGTGGTGTTAGAGGAGACTACAGAGGCACAGAGAAATGAGATCATGGAGGGATTTGAAAATGAGGATGAGAACTTTCAAATCGAGGTGTTACTTGATCAGAAGCTAATAAAGGTCATCGAGCCAGGGAATGATGGGTAAACATGACTTGATGTGAGTCAGAGAGTTTTTAGGTCATATCCAGACATCTCAATCCATCCTAAAGGTAGAGGATGGGAGTGGGTTGGATAGAGGTAACAAAAACATGGACAAAAGTTTTGGCAGCAGATGAGCTGAGGACACTGTTCCGTTTCTGTGGATACCAATCACCATGCTGATGCTGTGCCAAAGCATTCACTTCTGGTCTGTCCAGCTGCTGCCTTGCATAGACCTCAGAGGTCTGCACAGCAATGGAGAAATACAGGGGAAGGTAGCCCCAGGCAGGGGTAGTTGGGTAGAGGTGAAAGTAGACAGTTTCAGTGGCTGTGTGGACTTGTCAATAAAAGCTCAAATATAACACAAGGACTGGTTGAAACTTAGGAGGATGCAGCCAATAGCTAGGGAATGGATTTTTCATTGGGACCAGGGACATTGGCTTTGGTCTTCCCAATATTTAATAGGGAGTCATTTTTACTAATCCAGTCCTGGATGTTGATATGAAATCTGATATTTAGGGTTTGAGTGAGGTGGAGATGAGGTAGGTCTGGGTGTCATCAGCTTAGGATGTGCTTACAGTTTTATAGTTTCAGGATAAGGCATGGCAGATTTCAAACAGAGATGAGGAGGAATTACAATGACTCAAAGGGTCACGAATCTGTGGAATTCAGTATCCCGGAGTGAGGTGAATAGTGGGGCATTGAAAACGTTTCGACAGAATTTTAATTAATAACAGGTTGAAGGGCTATGGAGTGCGGGCAGGAAGGTGGCCTTGAGGCTGAGATGAGATCAGCTATGATGGTATTAAATGGCGGAGCAAGCTCGAGGGGCTGAATGGCCACCTCCTACTCCTGGTTCTTATGTTCTCTAATGCTTTTAGATGATGTCCCTGATGGGCAGCAGGTCGAAGTGTAAGAAAAGAGGGGCCAGGGATAAATCCTTGGGTGCTCCAGACTGAAAGGTGCAGGAGTGAGAAAGGAAGGCAACGCAGGTGGTTACAGGAAAATAGTTAACGACTAAAATCAATGGATGTGAGATGGGTGAACAAGGAGCTGCTTCTTCCTGTTCAGCTTTCGATTTTATTTGAAAGTACTGACGAGTTAATTACAGGCAGCATTATTTGGTTAGGATACAGATAATAAGTCTTTTTTGTTTATAGAAACTTTCTTGGTCATCAGTTGATTCCCTTGTGTTTAAATCGATACTAAATGCATTATGTTTAATGATTTCATTCCTATTAGGATTAATTAACATGTTTGAACTGCATAAATTCAACATCATTTGCAAGTGTTCATTTCATGCATTTATTCTCAAGCAGCACTCCTCTGATCTTTCCTCTCTTCATCCTCCTAAGCTCCAACTACTCTGATCTTCATTCCTAAACCAAATCTTATCTTTCCATCTTCTCCTTGAACCTCTGCTGGCCAGACACTTGGGAATCGTAATACAATCCCTACAGGGTGGAAGCAGGCCATTCAGCCCATCAAGTCCACATTGACCCTCCCAAGCGCATCCTACCCAGACCCACCCCCTATCCTATCTGTGTAACTGTGCATTTCCCATGGCTAACCTGCCTAGCCTACACATTCCTGGCAATTTAGCATGGTCAATCCACCTAACCTGCACGTCTTTGGACTGTGGGAGGAAACCGGAGCATCCGGAGGAAACGCGCACAGTCACAGGGAGAACGTGCAAATTCCACACAGACAGTCTCCCGAGGATGGCATCGAATCTGGGTCCCTGGTTCTGTGCGTCAGCAGTGCTAACCACTGTGCCACAATGCTACCTTCACCTCCCCTCATTCTTTCACCCTCTAACAATCCCGCCTTTTAACCTTCAACGTTAACCAAAATATTGTTGATTTCCAATGGTCCCAAAGACCAAGGCTGGGCCACATAATTGAAGGCATGGTCAGTGAAATGGTGTTTGACCCTGATTAAGGAGATAGCAGGGCAGAGGGGCTTTGTGGGAGAACGGGGGTGTGAAAGTCCAGTGAGTGAAGAGTGAAGGACCAGAGGGAACATGTGAGCCATAGATCAAACCAGACACAAACAGAAATGGCTTCTTGCTTCTCTTCACAGCACAAAGAAGTCATCAATCTTCAGTTCTGAAGAGAAGGTGTTTCCAGTGAACCAGCTGACAATATCTGTCAAGTAAAAGGATGTAAGACTGATGGGTTCACTTTCAGATATTAATCCCAGCAGGTTCCACTCTCACTTCTCTTCCTGACAGTGCTCTCCTTCTCACTAACTAGTTATCCTTCTGTTTCCCTTACATCCAGAGGAGTCTAACCCTTGCCAGACTAACCCGTGCCTACATGAGGGAATCTGCCTGTCCAACGGAACTGTCTACACCTGCAACTGTGTTCCGGGATTTACTGGGGAAAACTGTGAGATAGGTGAGACACTGAGCGAAACGTGCGAGTGGACAACTTTGCAATGCATCCTTAAATATCAGCATGTTCCCTACAGCTACCTGTCATTCAGTGGTTTGGAGTCTGATCTTCTGCCTTAAGAATTATTGCTGTTTGCAGTTACTTCGAGATTTTGATTAATTCTGTAATGTGTTCCCAACAGATATGAAACAAGGGCCCAATGTTTAATGACCTTATCTTGAATTTGTCCACCCTCTCCACAAAGCAGTAAATTAGGCTCAAGGTAAAGCTTCATGAAAGGGTTTGGTGGTGCAGTGGTAGTGTCCCTGTCTCTAGGCCTGAAAACCTTGATTCAAGTCCCACCTGCTGCTGAGGTATGACATAGCAAGCCCGAACAGGTTGATTAAAATAACTAAAGTTTCATGAGTGTGTCCTGCATTATGTTACCCAAATATTTCCAGCAACTTTAAATCTGTGTCTTTTCATTGCTGGTACTTTATACTGATAGATGTGCTTTTCTTTGTTTTGTCAGAACCCTTTATAAAAATCTTGACCAATCTCGAAATGTCCAATTTGACTAGCAACCATAGAACTGGCAGAATAGCATTCCAAGTTTTTACACTTCTCTGTGTTTGGAGAATAAGAAGAGGAAGAGGGTATTTAACCCTTATTTAATCGGATCATAGCTGACCTGTGATCCAACCATTTATTCCCACCTTTACTCCATATCCTTTAACGCCTTCACGAACAAAAATCCTACAATCTCAGATTTAAAATTATCTATTATCTCTTGATGAAGAGGATTCTAAATTTCTACCACCCTTATGGGTTGAAGGCCAACATTTGTTGCCTTTCCCGACGGAACCGATTACATTGGGTCTGAAGTCACATGTAGGCCAGATCAGGTAAGAATGGGAGACTTCCTTCCCTAAAAGACGTGGAGTCATAGAGATGGACAGCATGGAAACAGGCTTTTCGGTCAAACACGTCCATGCCAACCAGATATCCTAAATAAATCTAGTCCCATTTGCCAGCATTTGGCCCACATCCCTCTAAACCCTTCCTATTCATAGACCAACCAGATGCCTTTTAAATGTTGTAATTGTACCGGCCTCCAACACTTCCTCTGGCAGATCATTCTATACATGCACTGCCATCTGTGTGAAAAAGTTGCCCCTAGGTCTCTTTTAAATCTTGCCCCTCTCATCTCAAACCTATGCCCTCTAGTTTTGGACTCCCCTATCCTGGGAAAAACATCTTGACTATTCACCCTATTTATACGTATGGGGAGGCGATGGCCTAGTGGTATTATCGCTGGACTATTAATCCTGAGACCCAGATAATATTCTGGGGACCTGAGTTTGAATACCTGCCACAGCAGATGGTGGTATTTGAATTCAATAAAAATCTGGAATTGAGAATCTGATGATGACTGTGAATCTATTGTTGATTGTTGGGAAAAACCCATCTGGTTCACTTATTCCCTTAGGGAAGGAAACTGCCTTCCTTACCTGGTCTGGCCAACATGTGACACCAGACCTACAGCAATGTGGTTGACTCTCAACTGCTCTCTTGTCAATTAGGGATGGGCAATAAATGCTGCCCGGCTAGCGATGCCCTCATCCCGTGAAAGAATAAAGGATACCCCTCATGATTTTATAAACCTCCACATGGTCACCCCTCAGCCTCTGACACTCCAGGGAAAATAGCCCCAGCCTATTCAGCCTCATCCTATAGCTCAAACCCTCCAACCCTGGCAACATCTATGTAAATCTTTTCTGAACCCTTTCAAGTTTCATAACATCTTTCCTGTAACAAAGAGACCAGAATTGAACTCAGTATTCCATAAGTGGCCTAACCAATATTGTGTACAGCCGCAACATGACCTCCCAACTCCTACACTCAAAGCATTGTCCAATAAAGACATGAGTTAACCAGATGGGTTTTTACAACAATTGGTAATGTTTTCATGGTAAACATCACTGAGACTAGATTTGTATTTCAGATTTATAAATTGAATTTAACTCCATTAGCTGCAGTGGTGAGAGTCTAGCCTCTGTTTCCTGAGCTAGGCTTCTATGTCACTTGTCAAGTGACATTACCACCCTCTTACCCTCTGGGCAATGTACCAGGCACTCTCAGCAATTCAAATGAAAGCAAAATGCTGCAGATGCTTGAAATCAGAAATGAAACCGGAAGTGTTGCAGAAACTCAGGAGGTCTGGCAGCTGCTGTGGGGAGAGAAAGCAGAGTTGATTGATTCATTTTTTTTATTGTTACGTGTGCTGAAATACAGTGAAAAGCTTTGTTTACGAACGGTACAGGCAGATCGCAGCAAGCAAAGGATGCACAGATCAAAAAGACTTAGAAGCATACAGGTTACACTGTCGGTTACATTATTTGAGGCTAGAGTCCATTCTGGTAACGGCCAGAAAGAAGCTGTTTCTGAACCTGCTTGCGTGTGTGTTCAGGCTTCTGTATCTCCTGCTTGACAGAAGAGGTTGTAAAAGATCATTACCAGTGTGCGATGGGTCTTTGATGATGTTGACTGCCTTTGGAACATTTAGAGTCTGGTATAACTCTTCCTCTGAAAAATTCTTTGGCGTACACTTAAGCCTCAGCGTTATTTTATAATGTTCACTCCATATATCTGTCAATTTAACACGGAAGGAGGCTGAGGGAATTTTCAGCCTATCTTCTGCCCTATGTATTTTTTTCAGAATTTCTTTACAATTACTCTGAGCTGATAACTGTGAACAGGAGCACGAGCCTTTCTTTACTCCCTTTCTTCTTTTAATGCCTTTCTGCTGGTTCCCTGAGATAATCTCTCTGCATCATCAACAGCTTTTTGCCTCTGTGCAGCTTGTTAAAAGCTTCATTTTCAGGTTGTTAAACCCATTATCTGCTTCAGAAGCCCGTTCCAATGATTCCTGACATATAAACTGCTTTCTTCATTTATTTTAGATGTTCAGAGAAAGAGAACCCAAAGTTTCATCTCCTTCATTTGTGCTGAGGAAAGGAAAAGTAAAAGCAATTTACATAGTTTTTTTAAAGTGGTTTTTGGATGCCTCAAAGTACTTTGCAATCAATGTAGTACTTTTTGATGAATTGTCACTGCTATAATGTAGGAAACATAGCAGTTAAGGTGCACATAGCAAGCTACCACAAACAATAATGAAGAGACATTCTATTTGTACAGTGACTTAAATGAAGGGATAAGTATTAACTAGGACACAGGAGATAACTGTCCTTTGAAATGGCACTTCTGCATCGACTTGCCGCGGTCCGTGCTTAAATATCTCGTGTGAGTCACAGCGCCTCTGGCAGTGCAGCACTCGCTCGCTGATTTCCTGTGCTCAAATTTCGAAAGTATCATCCAAGCCACAAAGCTGACTCCTAGGGAGGAAGGGTTGTACCCATTGAGATACTGACAACTTTCCACGATGGCTTTATTTTCCAGATATTGATGAATGTCAATCCAGCCCCTGTGAAAATGGTGCAACCTGTGTTGATGGAGTCAATTCCTTCACTTGTCTCTGCTTACCGAGTTATGCTGGCAGGTTATGTGAAGAAGGTAAGGCACTTTTCGAGCCTATCACATCTATTCAACGACAGTCCCTCTGTGAAGGTTCTGGCCCGTACAGATTGGAATGAGTTCGGCCAGGTGGACCTCACAGAATTGGAGCAAACTATTGCAGACGCTGGAATCTGTACTGAAAGCAACAAACCCTGGGGATAGCAGCGGGTCAGGCAACATCCATGGAGAGGCTCCAAGCTAACATTTTGAGTCAAAATGACTCTTCCACCTTCCAGTCCCACAATGTTAGCTTGGTCCCTCTCCATGAATGCAGCCTGACCCGCTGTTATCCCCAGCATTTGTTGTTCTCATAGAATATGAGTTCCCTGATTGGGGTTGTTAACCTGGTCCAATCAGGGAGCCCTGGCTGACAGATATAAACAGGAGTGTCAGAGATTCTGCTCACTCTGAGAGCTGCCCCTGAGGAAGCTGTATCCAGGTCATTTACTATGCATGTGTAAATAAAGTGTGACTTGGTGACGGGATACCAGTATCTGCGGAGTTATTTCATGACCAAATGGTGCTTGTGTCCAATTTCCCTTGTGTTTTCTAAAATTAAATCCCATTATTGACTGCCTCCTCTAACCTCCGCTGAAAGCCATTGCTTAATAGGTCGATGCTGTCCAGGCCAACATCTGCTCTGCTACTGCCCCAGAAACCTGAGGTCATTCAAATCTCTGCTGCTGTGTTGGAACTTGCATTGAGTTCCAATTATCCATCAGCCCGTTGACTTGCTGTTCACACCTGCCTCATCCCTGTGTTCAATCCTTATGGGGTCTTGGCTGTCTCCCTGTTGTTGTAAACTGCCCCAAAAACAAAGCCCAGCTGAGACAAACACAGCAAAATGCTGAAGAAACCCAGCAGGTCTGGCAGCATCTGTGAAGATAGAAACAGAGTTAACATTTCGGGTCTGGTATGACTTCATCAAAACTCACCTGTTTGTCCAGCGTTAGAAATCAAAAAATGCCCCCAGACTTGGGAGGATGTCGTATGAATGAGGGTTGAAGATCAAAGCTTTGGAGTGCGCTATGGAGGGGGAACTGGAGGCCTACTGGTGGTGTGACATTCCTGGGGCAGAAGGTTGTGATGAAAGTCTACCCCTTTGCAGAGCCTCCACAGGAGGTACCCAAATCCAGACAAAGGGATGGGAGGACACTTCACAGAGTAGTTACAGCACAGAAGGAAGCCATTTGGCCCATTGTGGCTCTCCCTGGTGTCATTCCATCACCATGCATATTCTTCCTTTTTGCATAATTAATCCAGTTCCGTTTTGAAAGTCTTGATTGAAGCTGCCTCCACTGTAGCCTCAGGCAGCACATTCCAGACCCTAGCCCCTCTCTACATGACAAAGTATTTTTCTCATATCACTTTTATTACTTTTGCCAAGGACTTTAAATCTCATTCTCAATCTTATTATGAGGCTGCGCTGTTTCTCCCTATTGCCCTACTCTGTCGGGATCTCATATGATTTAGAATCCCTCTTTCAAATCTTCTCACAAACTCTTGTCCTCCTAGTCAGTCCCAAATCCACTATATCTTCATATTGAGGAATCTCGTGGGTACCCTGCGCTCGGGAAACCTGGCTGACAAGAGTAGAAGTTGAAAACCCAAACGAGAAAAAGCCTCACAATCTCATTGATCCATTGAAAGCTTCAACATATCTCCCTGGGTTGATGTAGTCATTCTCTGGCCATATCCCTCTAAATCCTACCTATTCATATACCCATCCAGATGACTTTTAAATATTTTAATTGTACCCGCCTCCACCACTTCCTCTGGCAGTTCATTCTATACGCACATCCTCCTCTGCTTGAAAAAGTTTCTCCTTAGGTCCCTTTTAAATCCTACCCCTCTCACCTTAAACCTATGCTCTACAGTTTGGGACTCCCTTACTCTGGGAAAAAGACCTTGACTCTTCACCCTATCCATGCCCCTCATGATTTTATAAACTTCTATCAGGTCACCCCTCAGCCTCCGACACTCCAGGGAAAATAACCCCAGCCTATTTAGCGTCTCCCTATAGCTCAAACCGTCCAACCCCGGCAACAACTTTGTAAACATTTTCTGAACCCTTTCAAGTTTCACAAGATCTTTCCTATAGCAGGGAGACTGGGGCTGGTTATAATTTTTAAAATTTTTAGTCAACCTGTTCAGAGATGTTATTACACACCTCTGGTGCAGGTGGACTTGAATCTGGATCTCCTGGCTGAGAGCACAGGACAGTACCATTGTGTCACGAGATATGAAGGATACCAGAGCTCCTGCAGCTGCAGAGAACAGCTGAAGCTGACAGAGCAGCGCTCCATCAGTACTGCACTGGCAGCGTCACCTCAGATTGTGGACTCTTGTCTTTAGAGTGGGGCTTGAACCCTTGACTCAAAAGAGGAGTGAGCCATGGCTACACCATTCCACTTTGTGGGCTTCTGTTGGTGTCAGTAGGGAAGGGTTAATGTGGAGAGTAATCCTGGCAGGGACTGCCACACACTACAGCTGCAGCAGTTAATGGAGCGTGAGGCATCAATTACAGAACTGGGTTTTAAGGATAGTGGAAGCAGCAGTTAGAAATGAGATAGTCTGTCAGCTCATTGAGAAAGTGCTGAAGCATGACTGCACAACTGCTTAGGCTGGGAAACTGATTACTGATTGCAGAGATACTGTCTCAAGTAGACTGTAGGTAGGAGAGGATGGGGACAGAAATGTCAGTGTGAGGAGAGAGACTGAGAGAAGCATAGGAACAAAAGGAGGCCATTCAGCCCCTTCAGACTTGTATTAACTCCACAGAGGCTGGCATCCCGTCATCAAGTCCCCCTTTATTTGCACGTGGAGAGTCCTTGACATGAATCTGACTTCCTTGGAGCCAGCTCTCAGGGTGAACAGACCCCCCCTTCAATCCTGTTAATATCTGTCAGCCAGGGTTTCCCGATTAGACCAGTCCCAATCAGGGAACTCATATTCTATGAGGTCCACTTGACTGAGCTTGTTACAATCAGTACAAGCCTGTGCTGCTATTCAAAGCGACCAAGGCTGATCTCTGTCCTGACCTTGGTTCCATATCTTTTCATCGTCTGTCCTGCCAAAGTAAGGATTGAGACATGGTGCAGGCAGAAACAAGAAACAGCGTGAAGTTGACGTACAGAGAGGCCGAGGGAAGGAAACTTGTGAGGGGAAAGACAGAGAAAATGAGAAGTGGAGCGGGGGGCCGGAGGGAAAGACTGCAGAGATTCTATGGTGATGAAATCAAGACCGCTCTGAGCTATACATCTTGCCAAATTGATCGTGTAGCTGTCACATTTTTCTTAAACCCCAAATGGTTCGCTCTGCTTCAGAGAAGGAAAGCCGCTGTCCTTACTTAGCATGGGCCTATACGTGACTCCTGTCCCACACCATATTGGCTGACCCTCAGCTGAAGTTGCATACCCCAGCACATCACTCTGTTGTTCAAGAAATAGAGCTGCTGGCATGTTGTTTGCACAGGCCATGAGGGTGGGTAGTAAGTGTGGGTCTGCCCAGCAATGCCTACTTGCTCAAAACCAATGATAGAAGGATAGGGGTGAAGAGGAGAGAGCTGGAAAAACACAACCCTTGAGAAGTAAGTCTATAGATTGGGTATATATCACACAGAATGGATTTCCTTGGGAAATTCATTGGTCAATCAGATTGCTATGGAAAGGGAGCCTGGTCAGTGCATGTAACTCAGAAAGTATGACCCCAGACAGTTCTATAGATTAACCAGGCTGACATTGTAAACCTCTGAGCCAGTACATCGCTGGGGTGAAAATGTTAATAGCTTTCTCCCAGGAAACTGCAAGCAGTCAGCTCACCTTCTAACCTATTACAGAATCTATTAAGAAACACTCATCATTACTTTAAAGGTCAGCTGGTTTATAACAGATGCACACAAACAGAATTTGCAACACACTCTCCCATAGTCTTTCAGTAAATATTCACAGTGCATTGGTTAGAGATGAAGCATCAATCCTGTCTATTTCTTCCCCAATCAAACAAAAGCTGATTCAGCTCATTTTGTCCCAGACTGTTTTATGTACAGTGTTCAGCAAACAATTTGATTGATCAGTACACAAGGGACAGTCACTGAATAAGAATGTCTTCTCCTTGCATGACAATAACTTCTTATGCAGTGTTTATCCTTAACACATCATCACTTATACCTTTTCATTGCATTCTTGATTTTAGAATTCTTCCTCCTCATTCTTCCCATCATTTCCCTTCCTAAATTCTTGTCCATTTTGTTATAACCTCCCCCTCCCCCCACCCCATTACATTTGGTCTTTAATCAATTTGTTTGAGGATGTATTTTCCAGTCCTGTTTTCCTGTTGACATTTACCATTGTAAGTTGCTATGTCAACATTTTCCCATTCATTTTGCTGTATCAGTGGTCACGATGTGGTTGCAAGCTCTGGACGCCAGGTGGATCTGCATAGAAAATTGTCTTCCTGCTCTGCCAATACCTTGTACGTGACAAATTGGGGGATGGTGGGGGTGTGAGGGGTTGGGTAGTTTGGATGGCTGGTATGTATGATGCAGAATGGTACCAGCAACGTGGGTTCAGTTCCTACATCCAGCTGAGGTAACCATGAAGGAGTGTCCTTCACAACCTCTCCCCTCATCTTAGGCACTGTGACCCTCAGGTTAAACCACCACCAGTCATCTCTCTCCAGTAAGAGAATGGGTCCACAGTCCTGTAAAACTATCGTGACCTTACCCTTACGTGACAAAAACCTACTGCAAATGGACAATCACTGCTAATGGATTTGAATTCTTCTTTTGTCGCTCAGATACTGAGGGGTGTGATCACAACTGGCAGAAGTTCCTGGGCCACTGCTATCGGTACTTTTCGCACAGACGATTGTGGGAGAATGCAGAGAAGGATTGCCGAGGCCATGGGGCACACCTTGTCAGCATACACTCAGCTGAGGAGAAGGAGTTCTTAAACAGTGAGTCTTACCGAGTTGGATGTATGTTTGGTGGCGACATCAACAAGATTGCGTACAGGGTTTCCAACCCTTCAGAAACACCCTGCCATCTCGAGGACTTTATGGGTAATCGCCTGGCTCATAACGTGAGGGAAACCAGGTGAAAAGCCCTGATGGACAACAAAATTAGAAACCAAGTGATGAAAGTTAAGGAGTGTCTATTTGACTCAGTTGATTGGGTTGGGCGGGGTGGACATCACAAGTCTAAAACCTCCAGGAGTACCCTAAACAGAGTTGTTTCACAGCCATTGGGGTCAATAGGAGTCTTGTTATCATTTGAGAAACTCAGGGGTTTCCAAAGCTGAAAGGCTGACAGGGTAAGAGAGCTGGCAAAGTAAAACGAAACCAAATTTCGTGGCTTGAACCATTCAATCACACAGTGCAGAAGGACGCCATTTGGCCCTTTACACCTGAGATTAATGTCTCTTTTAATGTCTCTTTTGGAAAAGAAATCTGTCATACTTTACCTGGTCTGGCCTACATATGACTCCAGACCCCGGCAATGTGGTTAACTCTGAACTACCCCCAGCAATGGCCTAGCAAGCCACTCAGCCCAGGGATGGCCAACAGATACTGGACATGATGTGCCATATTCCATGAAATAAAAGACCGTTTTGTTCCAGAAAGCCAGTTGGTAAAAGATGAATCAGGAGTCAATATTTAGATGCTTCCATAGATATTTATTTTCAGAGCTCCACATTATAAACATCAGCTTCTGAATCCAACAAGCACAGTTTTATGAAAGTTCTGAGGAAGGGTCACCAGACCCGAAACGTTAACTCTGATTTTTTCTTCACAGATGCTCCCAGACCTGCTGAGATTTTCCAGCAACTTCTGTTTTTGTTCCTGATTTACAGCATCCTCAGTTCTTTCAGCTTTTAAGCACAGTCTTATTTTTAATTTTGTCTGTTTGGTTATGGCCCCAGTGATTTCACAGTTAATGTCCATAACCTACGTAGAATTAGTCACAATTCATACAGCACTAGAGCTATGAAATTGGTGCTGCTCCCCTGCTGAGTCCCCAGAGCCCTGCAATGTTTTCCTTTTCAGAATCTATGTCTAATTCCCTTCTGAAAATAGCTATTGAATGTATTGCCTTAATACGGCTCTCCCAGATCAAAGCAACACATTGAGTTTAACAAGAAAGATTCTCTGGATCACCTTTCTTGTTTCTTTTTTTGCTGGTTGTTTGAATTAGTGACACCAGACTTGAGATTTGAAGGACTGTAGATTGTTAAAGGGTGGAAAATTTGATGAGGATGGAGAACTCCAGAACTTTGTCAGATTTGAGGAGGAGAAAATGAGTTGAAGTTGGGGATAAAGGGACCGAGTGATTAAACACAGGGAGAAGAGTGAAGTGTTTCACTAGGCAGTGACAGTGACAGTGTTGGAGGGCGGAGGTCAGGCTTAGTTTAGTGACTATATTCATGGAACGTGGGTGTCTCTGGTAAGACCTGGATTTTTTGCCCATTCCTAAATGCCCTTGAACTGAATGGCCTGTTCAGCCATTTCAGGGGGTAGTTCAGGGTAAACCATATTGCTGTGGGTCTGGAGTCACACGTAGGCCAGAAAATTACTTTCCCAACAGGCATGAGTGTATCAGATGTAACTGTGTACAATAATGCCTGATAGCTTCACAATCAACATTATCCAGACCAATTTTCGATTTTATGAACTGAATTGAATTTCCAACAGCTACCACTGTGGGATTTGAACTCACATTCCAGTGATATTAGCCTTGGCTCCAAGAGTACTAGCCCAGTTACATTACCACCACAGCGTCACCTCCAGTGCTTTGCCAATCTGGCATTTGCCACTGAAAATATGGTTGACATCAACCCTGGGCCAGACTGATGTTCTCGGTCCTTGACATTCTTTGTCTGCCTCAATTGTAGGTCTGGGTCGGGAGTACGCTTGGATTGGCCTGAATGATAGGACCATTGAGGAGGATTTCCAATGGACTGATGGCACTTCATTGGTAAGTCTAGATCAAATTGATTGATGCCGGCTTTAGCCAAAGCCTCCTTGATTGTTGCCACAATGATAGGGAGGAACTGGGCAAAAAGGAATGAAGACATCGAGTTGAGTCGCAGTGATTCTGTCATCTGATGGTAAAACCGTTTGGTTCATCCACGTTAATGATTTGATCTTGGCTGTGGCTCTGTTGGTAGCCCACTCTTGTTTGAGTCTGGGTTCAAATCCCAGAGATTCAAGGTTAATGCTTCAGTGCATTCTGGGTTGATGCTGCACAGACAAAGAGTTTTTTTTGGAGTATGGTGTTAAATCTATCCATCCTTTCTGGTGAACATCAAACTTAATATTTTACAGGGTTACTTTTATAAATTAGTGTTCCTGATTGAATCCTTATCTCTCGGAGATATTTTGGGAATTTGTAAGTAGGTGTAAATTTCCAGAGTAATTGAGGCAGAGGCATGTAAACCATAAGACCATAGGAGCAGAAGTAGGCCATTCAGCCCATCAAATCTGCTCCGCCATTCAGTGAGATCATGGGTGACCTAATAATTCTTAACTCCACTTTCCTGCCTTTTCCCCAAAATCCTGATTAAACATCAATCTATCTCAGCCTGGAATATACTTAATGACCTGGCTTTGACAGCACTCTATGGTTAAGAATTTTACGGATTCACTACCCACTGAGAGAAGAAATTCCTCCTCATCTCTGCCTTAAATGTGTGGCCCCTCATTCTGAGATTATAACCTCCAGTCCTGGATTTTCCCACAAGGGGAGACAACCTCTCCGCAGTTACTCTGTCAAATCCCTTTAGAATCTTATATGTTTCAATAAGGTCGCCTCTCATTTGTCTAAATTCCAATATATACAAACCCAATCTACTCAGTCTCACCTCATAGGAGAGTCCCTCCATTATCTGGTATCAGCCTAATGAACCTTCTCTGAACTTCCTCCAATGCCAGCATATCTATCTTTTGATAAGGGACCCAAAACTGTTCACTGTATTCCAGCTGTGGTCAGAATTGTGCCTTGTACAGTTTTAGCAAAACCTCCCTTCTTTTATATTCCATTCCCTTTGACATAAAGGTCAACATTCTACTTACCTTCACTGTTATCAGATGAACTTGGATGGATAGTGTTTTGTGATTCTTGGACAAGGACTCCTAAATCTCTTTCTGCAGTCTTTCCTCCAATTAAATAATATTCAGATCCTCTATTCTTCCTGCCAAAGTGCATAATCTCACATTCTCCATATTCCATTTATCAACTTTTCATCCACTCACCAAATGTAGCTGTATCCCTCTTTAAGATCTTTGGGTCATCCTCACCACTTGCATTCCCACCTATTTTTGTGTCATCCTTAAACTTGGCATTCGTACATTTACTTTCCAAGTCATTAATACGTTGTAAATCATTGTGGAGCCAGCACTGATTCCTAGAGCATTCCACAAGTTAAAAGTTTGCCATCCTAACTCTCTGCCTTGTACTTGAAGTTGGCCTATCAGTTATCCATGCTAATATAGGACAATCTGTCCAGGGGCACACACTGCAAAAAGATTGGTTAGGCTTGCTGAGATGACATTGATTTCCCAATCAGAAGCTTCCATCAGCATTATCAAACAAGTACATGTCAGGGACAACATGAGTTCAAGCTCATTCCAGTCCACTCTATTAATTTTCCTCTGTCCCAGCCTCAGAGAAGCAGCTTCCATTGGAATGATCTTTTGTCTATTGCCCACATGAGAAATTGTGTGGTTACTCTGAATAAGATTGACAATGGGCACCCGGTCAAGTAGAGAGGGTTTATGTTGAGGAGAAGATCTAACTAGAAACTCATTCTTCTGCCTCTGACAGTCCCTCAATGTGAGGAGGATGCTCACCATGGACAGTGACCCTTGGTAAGAACCTGAGTGTGGAGCCTTTCATGTGGGGTGGCAGCTCTGATGCTGCCATGTGATTCTCATTGACCAGGAAACCCTCTGCTCTCACCACCTGCTGTTGGCAAATTGGCAGAACTTGCAGGTTGATAATTAACCCATTTGGCCAAATCATGAATGCACCTCCACAATTGCTGAGTCCTGCAGTGGGACTAAAATCTTGCACTTTTAGCTTCGAGCCAGTGACAAAACACTGTGCCTCAAGGCCTCCAGGAATGATGTCAAGACTGGTCCAAACCATTGGGCTTCATTGGATTTGGAGTCAGATCCCTAAGCTAAAGGCCGTCTGCCAACACACCAGCCAATCCTTGTTTTCCATGCTGCGGCAATAGGTAGGATTTGAAGATGGGTATTCCTGGATCCATGCATACACACGTTCCAACCTGTCCACAAACACATGTACCTGTTTCCTCTGCTTGTTTCTACAGTGTTGGATTTATTTCTTGCAATTAAGTTAAAGTAGAACTTTGGGTCACAGTGGACAGGATGCAAATGTTAGGAGCCCACCAGCTGTTTCGTGAGTCTCAGCAGCCCTGGGTTTCTGACAAAAAAAAGTACAAGGTTTCCTGTAAGGGGAAAGGTTTTGAAATACTTGCTTTGGTTGTCAGCTGAGCTAAGCTGAGCTCCTGAGGATGTTCCCTGACTACGGATCATATCGATTTTCACCTTAGCTTTGATGTCTCTGATCAGAGAATGAGGTTGGATGGGAGCTGGAAGGGATCTGACACTTCAGAGAACTGTTTGACCTCATGCTCGAACACAGCGTTAGGGCAGGAGTGAGACATGACTGGCTTCTTTATGCACTTTGTACAGAGTTTGTTAAAAGAATCACGTAGCATTGAAACCAGAAGGGAACGGCATGATTGTTCATCTTACATTCCCACACCACGCACTGAAAAACAGAACATTTTCTTCAACAAAATAAAAACTGAAAGATACTGTGGTTCTGAAGCAAAAACAGAAATTGCTGGAAAAGCTCAGTTGGTTTGACAACATCGGAACCGAGGAAGGCTCTCTTGACCCGAAACGTTAACTCTGATTTTTCTCCACAGATGCTGCCAGACGTGCTGAGCTTTACCAGCAACTTCAGTTCGTGCTTTTTCTTCAACAGGTTATTTTCTCTATTTCTGGTTACCACCACAATTTCTTTCTCCATTCCAACCACGTAAGAAATATCAGCAGGAGTAGACTATTCGGCCTCTCACGCCTGCACTTCCATGAAGAAAGATAAGAGCTGATCTGATTTTGTCCTAACTCTACTTCCTGCCTGTGTCCCATAAACCTGACTCCACTGTCAATCAAAGACCTGTCTATCTCAGCCTTGAATATATTCCACGACCCTTTCTCCGCTGCTGTCTGGGGACCTGTTGTGATTGTGTGATATGCCCATTCTGTGATCGCTTTCCCTGTCCTAAAGTACAAAAAGCAATACCTCCTTTCCTCCAATTGCACCCTTGCTGAAAACCGGGGTTGAAAGAAATCACTTAAGAGGAAACTATAAATTCCCCGCCAACCCCCAGAGCAATTTCCTTCCCTCATTCCATTAAAGATGCCGGTATTCATTGGATGGGCTATTCCCGAGCCTTGGTAACTCCAAACCCCTGTCCTCAGGGTCACGTTCAACATTACAGATCATGAAGCACGCCTCAGATGAGCCAATGTTATCATTGACAAGGGCATAAGGACAGGGGAGCCCTTCATCCCATCCAGCATGACCTATCATTCAATTAGATCATGGCGAATCTGTGTACTGAGTCCATCTACCCACCCTCATGCAATAACTCTCTGTACCCTTGTCTAAGGAAACCCAGCAATCTCACTTTTGAAATGGTCAATTGAATATCCTGCCACCCCCAACTACCAGCACCATTGCTACCATCAGGTTCAAAGCCAGTTTTGGGGGAGAAAGTACTAGCTTTCCACTCTCCTTTGTGTGACCAGGTAGTGATGTCTCTGGCCTAGTAATTCAGAGCCCTGGGCCAATGTTCTGTGTACATGGGTTTGAATCCCACCAAGACAGGTGGTGAAATTTGAATACAACAACATTCTGTAAGTAAGATTTAGTCTAATGAAGACCATTGTTGTAAAACCCTACCTGGTTCACTCATGTCCTTTAGGGAGGGAAAATGTTGTCTTTACCTGGTCTGGCTTCCAGGTGACTCCAGAAACTCAACGACATGACTATCCCTCGGCTGCCCTCTGAAATGGCCTCACAAACCATTCTGTAGTGCCAGTGCTACCTAATCCCAATCAAGTTCTAATTTTACTCTTTGTTCTTGACTTCATTCCATCAGCACCACACACCCAATACCTCACATCACCTCTCTGCCTTATCAATCTGAAACACCTTGATCAGGTCACTCTTTAATTTTCCTTCCTCCAAGATATACAGGCCTAAACTATGCAATCTGTCCCCGTGGGATCCCAATGTATTTGATAATGATCAGAAGTAGGAACTTTGGGCAATTTTCCTCTCTTATGTAGAAAAGTAGCAGAGTAGGCCATTCAGTCCTTCCAACCTACTCTGCTATTCAATATGATCATGACTGTTCATCCAAGTCAGTATCTAGTTCCTGCTTTCTCCCCATACATTCTGCTCTCTTTAGCTCTAAGAGCTATATCTAACTCCTTCTTGAAAACTTAAAGTGTTTGAGGCCAAAACATTGCTGTGGCGGAGAATTCCATTGGCTTATTACTCTCAGGGTGAAAGCTGTTGCTCCTCATCTCAGGCCTGAATGGCCTACTCTGTATCCCTGGACTGTGCCCTTGGTTTTGAACTCCCCAGTCATTGGGAATAAAGGACTCTTTGTAGCAAAGATTGTATCACATTGACATCCGAGGCTGAGATCTACCATCTTGGTCTAAACAAGGGTTGAACCTGGAAGATTCCTGGACTGTGTGTAGCGTCATTAACAACTGAGATCATGAGTTGTGAATCCATAAATTTAGCTGACTTCCTTTTTTTTCTCTTCTCACCAAGCAATATGAAAACTGGCGGGAAAACCAACCAGATAGTTTCTTCGCTGGAGGAGAGGACTGTGTGGTCACAATCAAACATGAAAATGGGAAGTGGAATGACGTACCATGTAACTATAACCTGCCCTACATCTGTAAGAAGGGAACAGGTAAAGGAAGATAAGTCAATGTCATGTATTGAACCATGGTCTTCCAAGGGAATGAGTGATATGCTGTGGGTTGATGGAGTATCCATCCCTGATGACCACTCACAATACGCTGTAATATGACAAGATCATTTCTTCGTGGTCTTTGGAAAGAGCTTTACTCTATACAGTGGTAACAGCACTGAGGACTCTCTGGTAAAACTTTCACAACAGTGTTAAACTCCTCTACAATTCCCCTGATAATTTGTCCAACCTCAATCTCAGTAAATTGCCAATACTGCACCTCCCTGATGTTCCCACTGATTCCAAGATATTTTCTTACAAGGCCTGTAAGTGAAGGATCAAGATTGGAAAACGCAATGTGAAGGCTGTGGCTCAGTTTGTAGCAGACTTGCCTCTGTATCAAAATGCTGAGGATTTGAATCTCGCTCTAGAGATTTGACCTCGAATTTAGGTAGCAGTGGAGAGTTGCCTCTCTCTGGGTGAATGTAGAAGACCTCAATATCAGACCAGGGTCTTCTTTGTGGTGCCCTGGTCAATAATTCATAGAGTGCAGAAGATTCATAGAGTGCAGAAAAGGTCCTTCAGCCCGTTGAATCTGCACTGACATAACTACCTCTAATGGCGCGCTAATCCCAATTTCCTGCACTTGTCCCATGTCCTTGAATGTTATCATATTTGAAGTGCTCATCCCAATATTTTTTTAAAGGTTGTCCAGTTTCTGGCCTCCACTAACATTCCTGGGCAGTGCATTCCAGAGTCCTGTCACCAGCTGAATGAAAAATTTTTTTCCCCTGAATCTCCTGCCCCTTACTTTAAAACTATCGCCCCCCCCACCCCACTTCCCCCAACCAAGGGGAACAGCTGCTTTCTATTCACTCTGTCCATACCCGTCATAATCTTATCCACTTAATTATCCCTCAATTAACACCAAGGCAGATTGTTAATCATTTATCTTGTGGTATCTTGCATGTACAAATTTTAATACAACAACGACTGTACTTCAAAAAGTAATTTGCTGATTATAAAGTGCTTTAGAATGTTTATAGTGAAGTCATTAGAGTATTAAGGTGAAACTTTCGAGAGGAGGTAGTTGGTAACTAGAGATTTAAAATAATTAGCCAAGGAGCTAGAAAAGATTTTGTTTAACACAGTGAGTTGTGATGGTATGAAGCGCACTGCCTGTATGGTGGTAAATATTGCATGCTGCTGTTTGTGGTCAGCCCTTGTGTGGTTTTCTGCACTAACAGGATACTGATGTCAAGCCAAAAAGACGTCTCACCTACAGCAGAACTGAGTAATGTGGCATATGAGACTCAGTGCCAGTGTGATGCCAGGTACTGAGGCTGTACATCCCAGCGACTAGCAATCCTATCAAACATGTCCCTTTGACCATTTGCAGTGGGCAGCAAGTGATTGTGCTCAATCACCTTGTGGTGGCATACCTCAGAATACCATGCCCAATGTTATATGCCATTCTGTTGCTGAACAGCATTCACTAAATAATCCAGACTGTGCTAAGAATTGCACCGGAAACTGATTTACCATTATCAGTCAGGGACGTGCCTGCAAGGAGCTACATATATTCTTGTACAGGATCCTGCTCTGTGCAGTGGAAAATAATTTGTCCATATATTGCACCTTTACCAGTGAGGAAAAAGTCAGAAGATGGCTGCTTTTCTCATTGTAGTTCTCTGAGCATTCAAGGTCTGATTGCTTTGTCTGAGTTTAATCAGCTAAGATTGACAGTTAATAGGTCCTGCTAAATTTTCATGGTCTAACCAATCAGCCCCTTATTTACATGCTGTATAAATTGGTGTTCCCTGTCTAAGTTTGGTTTTCTTGCATTTCAATCCTGATGAGTGCAAAATGAAAATATTTGACTTTGTGTCTTTTTCTAGCAATGTTTAAGTTCCATACCACCAAAAAATTCAATATTCGATGTGCGATAAGTGTTGAAAGCAGATTCAATTGTAAATTTCCAAAGAGAACTTTGGATACCTATTAAAAGGAAAAACCTGCAACGCAAAAAGGGAAGTGTGACTAAGAGAGACTAACTACATAGCTCTTTCAAACAGCTAGCACACACACAATGGGCCAAATGGCCTCTTTTGGTGCTGTAGGATACTATGATCCCACAATATTAGCGAACAGGAGGAATGGTCATTGTGGTCTTATGGCTGACGTAGCACAGCAAATAAAAATAAATAGTCGGTTTGTGAACTTGAGTTCTAATCACAAAAAGAAAGTCCACAGTTACTGGACAGGGCTGTATTGGAATAACTCTGTTCCTTTTCTGTTAGTGCTCTGTGGTCCACCCCCTGTTTTGGAACACGCTGTGACAATCGGCAGAAAGAAAGCTCGTTACGAGATCCACTCAGTGGTCAGGTACCAGTGTGAGGAGGGTTTCATCCAACGTCACATCCCGACCATCAAGTGTCACAGCAACGGAAAGTGGGACAAGCCGAAAATCCTCTGCCTAAACCGTGAGTTTTACTGCTGACTTTTGCTGGATGTGGAGGTGCTGGTGTCGGACTGGGGTGGACAAAGTCAGAAATCATCAAGTGACAGGTGACATTGACAGGATGCAGAGCTGGGCTGAGAAGTGGCAGATGGAGTGAGGTGATTCATTTTGGAAGGACAAATTTGAAAGCAGAATACAGGGTTAACGGAAAGATTCTTGGCAGTGTGGAGGAGCAGAGGGATCTCGGGGTTCATGTCCACAGTTCCCTGGAAGCTGCCACCCAGGTGGATAGAGTTGTTAAGAAGGCGTATGGTGTGTTAGCTTTCGTTAATAGAGGGATCGAGTTCAAGAGCCGTGAAGTTATGCTCCAGCTGTACAAAAGCCTGGTTCGGCCACATCTGGAGTATGGTGTCCAGTTCTGGTCGCCTCATTACAGGAAAGATGTGGAAGCATTGGGAAAAGGTGCAGAGGAGATTTACTAGGATGTTGCCTGGAATGGAGGACAGGTCTCACAAGGAAAGGTTGAGAGAGCTAGGGCTTTTTTCTTTAGAATGACGAAGGATGAGAGGTGACTTGATAGAGGTGTACAAAATGATCAGAGGTATAGGTAGAGTGGACAACCAGAGACTTTTTCCTAGGGTGGAGGTAGCTATTACGAGGTGGCATAGTTTTAAAGTGAGTGGTGGTAGATATAGGGGAGACGTCAGAGGTAGGTTCTTTACTCAGAGAGTGGTAGGGGCGTGGAATGCATTGCCAGAGAGGGTAGTGGAGTCGGCCTCATTAGGGGCATTTAAGCGGCTATTAGATAGGCATATGGATGATAGTATAAGGTAGGGGTGGAGATTAGATAGACCTTATGATTAGGGTAAAAGTTCGGCACAACATCGTGGGCTGAAGGGCCTGTACTGTGCTGTGCTGTTCTATGCTCTGTGTTCAAATAAACCTGTTGGACTACAACCAGGTGTTGTGTGACTTCTGACTTTTCCCGGGGTAGACTTTGCCACGATGTTGCTCACAGGGCGCCCTGCATTTGCGGGGAGGGGGGTAATTAGGGTCTGGGGGTTCAGAAGACAACATGTGCAAGAGACCACAAGAGGATGCGGTTGAGAGCTAGCTGCTTAGTGTCTTATCAGGAAACAAGAGGCAGACACCTGGTCTACAAGTTCTGCAGGAACCTTTCCTGATCTCCTGCGTTAATGTCGGTGGAAGATCAGTGAGGTCCTGAGAGAAGTGCTGTCAATGGCCATTTTCAGATGTCTTTCTGACAGTCCGTGTGCCCCCAGAGGCTGTGATGGATGATTAGGAGAACCGGCAAGAAATCTCTGGGCCACTTAGAGTCATAGAGCCATTGAACTGTACAGCATGGAAACAGACCCTTTGGTCCAACTCATCCATGCGGACCAGATATCCTAAATTAATCTAGTCCCATTTGCCAGTATTTGGCCCATATCCCTCTAAACCCTTCCAATTCATATACCCATCCAGATGCTGTAATTATATCAGCCTCCACCACTTCTTCTGGCAGCTTACTCCATACACACACCACCCCCTGCATGAAAAAGTTGCCCCTTAGGTCTCTTTTATATCTTTCCCCTCTCAGCTTAAACCTATGCTCTCTATTTTGGACTCCCCTGACCCCAAAGAAAAGATCTCGACTATTCACCCTATCCATGCCTCTCATGATATTATAAACCTCTATAAAGTCACCCTTCAGCCTCCAACGCTCCAGGGAAAATAGCCCCAGCCTATTCATCATCTCCCTGTAGCTCAAACCCTCCAACCCTGGCAACATCCTTGTAAATCTTTTCTGAACCCTTTCAAGTTTCACAACATTTTTCCTGTAGCAGGGAGACCAGAACTGCATGCAGTATTCCAAAAGTGGCCTCTCCAATGTCCTGTACAGCTGCAACATGACCTCCCAACTCCTACAGCCAATGCACTGACCAATAAAGGCAAGCGTACCCAACGCCTTCTTCACTGTCCTGTCATTTGTGGTATCTTTACACATTGTGGGAACATCAATGCAGGAATACATTTCAACCTCCTCACAACCCACAGCTAAAGAAATAAATATATGCATATGTCACAGGGAGAGAGTATATAATCCAAAACAGGCATATGGTTTTTCAGATGTAAGCTTCCATATCTCCTTCATTAACTTTCTTTTGCACATAAGCATGTCTCTCTCTCTCATTGTCTCATCGCCACTGGCTCTCTTTGTGTCGCTCTGTATTCGTCACTTACTGCCTACCTCACTCTCTGTATCGCTCACTCTCTATATTTTTCACTCTTTGTATCTTGCGCCCTCTATATCTCTTGATCTCTGTATCTTGCACTGTCTGCATCCCGCACCCTCTGGATCTCTTACTCTCTGTATCTTTTGCTCTCTGTGTCTCATAATCTCTGTATCTCGCAATCTCTGTATCTTGCGCTCTCTTCCTATCTTGCTCTCTGTATCTTGTAATCTCAGTATCCCGCACTCTTTGAATCTTGTGCTGTCTGTATCTCTGGCTTTCTATATCTATTGCTCTCTGTAACACTCTCTCTTTGTATCTCTTCCTGTCAGTACTTCTCTTGGAGGTGAAACTTGCAGAGAGTGATGTTGTCATTCATTTGCTGCCCTTGTCCTTCTAGATTGTAGAAATCTAATAGATTTGGAAGGTGCTAATGAGGGAGACTTGCCAAGTTGCTGCAGTGCATCTTGTAAATAGTACACACTGCTGCTAGTTTGCATTGATTGCGGACAGAGTGCATGTTGAAAATAGTGGATAGAATACCAATCAAGCAGGCTTCTTTGTCCTCAATGGTATTGAGCTTCCTGAGTGTTGTTCGAGCTGCATTAATCCAGGCAAGTGGGCAGTATTCCACCATCCTCCTGACTTGTGACTTGTAGATGCTGGACAGGCTTTTGGGACACAGGATGCAAGTTACTCGCTGCAGGATTCCCAGCTTCTGACCTCGATGTGATCCAAGGAGAGTTGGAGATGAAGTTTGACCCTTCTTACTGACGGCCACAGAATTAAGCAATTTATTTCCCCACCCAGTGCTCGCTCAATAACCTACAAAGTCAATAAGACTCAGGCCTAATACCCTGCATTGTCAATGCGTTTTTGATGCTATCCAATTCTGTGCTATGTCCCACAGTGAAAATTAACCCCATCCACTATCTTGGATGCATTAATAAACAGGCCTGAAGTCAGAGTTTCATAGAGCTGTACAGCATGGAAACAGACCCTTTGGCCCAACTTTTCCATGCCAACCAGATATCCTAAATTAATCTAGTCCCATTTGCCAACATTTGGCCATGTCCATCTAAACCCTTCCTATTCATATATCCATATTGTACCAGCCTATACGAATTCCTCTGGCAGCTCATTCCACACGTGAACCACCCTCTGGGTGAAAAAGTTTCCCTTAGATCCTTTCTAAATCTTTAATCTCTCACCTTAAACCTATGCTGTCTAGTTTTGGACTCCCCCACTCCAGGGAAAATACCCTGGCTGTTCAGCATATCCATGCCCCTCATGATTTTACAAACCTCTATAAGGTCACCCCTCAGCCTCCGACGCTCCAGGGAAAATAGCCCCAGTATATTCAGCCCCTCCCTATAACTCAAACCCTCCAACTCTGGCAACATCCATGTCAATTTTTTCTGAACTCTTTCAAGTTTCACAACATGCTTGCTACAGCAGGGAGACCAGAATTGCACACAATATTCCAAAAGTGGCCCTAACCAATGTCCTGTACAGCCACAACATGACCTCCCAGCTCCTATACTCAATGCACCAACCAAAAAAAGCAAGCATGCTAAATGCTTTCTTCACTCTCTTGTCTACCTGGGACTCCACTTTCAAGGAACTATGAACCTGCACTCCAAAGTCCCTTTGTTCAGCAACACTTCCCAGGACCTTACCATTAAATGTTTAAGTCCTGCCCTGATTTGTCTTTCCAAAATGTAGCACCTCACATTTATCTAAATTAAACTCCATCTGCCACTCTTCGGCCCATTGGCCCATCTGATCAAGATCCCTTTGTACTCTGAGGTAACCTTTTTCCCTGTCCACTACACCTCCGATTCTGGTGTCATCTGCAAACTTACTAAACAGACCCCCTGTGAAGTGAAGAGAAACAGGAATTCCAAGTCGAGATAAATATTTAATTGGGGATGCAAACATGTGGAATTGCAAGCCGCTGCCTTATAAAGTTTTAAAGTTGCCTCATTTAGCATCTGTGGAAGAATATCCTGCTGAGAATCTCTGTCTTGACTTGAGCAGAAACAGGAATGTGAAACCCTAATTGCTTCCTGCCAATTCTATAATGAATGGGAAACTGGCAGCAGGACCATTGCCACATTTTGCAGCTGCTTAGCGTTGAGTCACTCAATTCCCACTCATATAGGAAATCACACGGGGAGTCCCGATATCTCCTGCATTGTGTGTGGGTGACCATTATCAGGCTGTTTAGCTAGTGTGGCTCTCTCCTGATCAATATCAATTCCTCAGCCAATATTGCCACAAACTCGTGATGTTCTCTATATATCATTGCTGTTAGTGGCAGCTTGTTGTGTGCAGATTGGCTGCTGTGTTTCTTACTTTAGAATAGTGGTTGCTGTCTGAAAGTACTTCATTAGTTGTAAAGTGCTTTGGGTTGACCCTGTGAATAAATCTGGCCATAGGAAGAGCTTAAGGGAGGTGATGGCCTCATGGTAATATCACTGGACTGTTAATCTGAATACCCAGGTAGTGTTCTGAGGACCCACAACTGATAGTGGAATTTGAAATAAATAAATAAATCTGGAATTAGGAGTCTAATGATGACCATGAAACCATTGTCAACAGAAAAACCCATTTGGCTCACTGATGTCCTTTAGGGAAGAAAACTGCCATCCTTACCTAGCCTGACCTACATTTGACTCCAGATCCACAGCCATGTGATTGACTCTTATCTGCTCTCTGGTCAATTAGGGATGGGCAATAAATGCTGGCCTTGCCAATGATGCTCTCACCCCGTGAATGAATAAAATATGCCATAGTGTTCATATTCAGACATCATCATGTGGCTGAGGATCAGCTTGCTTGGGGGTTTCTGCTTCCAACCTACAATGCCATGTCCTGGCAGTCTCTCTTTATAAGTGCTCAAGGTACTTCACCTGTATTTCCTAACAATGTATATTCCACTTCAGTACCTACCCTGTCAAGCTCTACATTTCAATTAGATCACGTCTCAGGCTTGTAAACTCCAGATAATGTAGATTCCCTAGAGTGCATAACGAGGCCATTTGGTCAATCAAATCTGCACCACCCTCCAAAGAGCTAACCCCTACCCTATACCCATAACCCACATTTCCCATGGCTAAGCCACCTAGCCTGCACAATCCTGTACACTACGGACAATTTAGCATGGCCAATCCACCTAACCTGCACATCTTTGAATTCTCGGTCATTCAATCCCTGCTCATTGGGTAACCCACATCCCAAGAATTAAGTCGAGTGAATTTCCATTGCAAGCCAAAGGCGTGGGATTTGATGCCATTCCTCTCACATTGCTCTCATCCTACTGTTTCCCTGCGCCATCTGACAGCGTGGGTGTGAGGCCTAGTGTTGGGCATCTGCCAATTCCTTGCCTTGAGTAACCGTACACGGATTGATAAATGTCCTGATTTATCCCTGTGGTTAAAATGTTAAGAAGAATTCAATAGGGTAGACATGGAGACATGGTTCCTCTGGTGCAGGTGAGTCAGGAGCAAAGGGGGATAATCTCAAATTCAGAGCGAATGCTGTTCAGGAGGGATCAACTTCTCACTGGTGACATAACTTAGACAGTGGAATTCTCTGCTCCTAAAGGCTGTGGACAACCAAGTGACCATTGTAGCTTTCAAGACTGAGATTGGCAGATTTTCACTCAGTAAAGGTGTCAAGGAATATAGAGTAGAAGTATAGACCAGTTCTGAGTGAATAGTATGGTAGGATGGGCTTGAGAGGTTGAATGGTTTTCTCTGGATCCCTGTTTCCTTGCTTATAGCTCCTTATCATGACTTTACATTGCACAGTGTGTCTTGCAGTCTGCATCCTAAAATCAAACCACTTGGATCCCTCACAGAGTAAAGGACATGAGATCACTTAAGAGTATTAGAACGAAGCACCCTATATGATTGTGAATTGCGTGATATATTTCAATGAAACATGCACTCATTAGGGGGCTGTTGTGTCTTTGGTTTCTAAGTTGTACTACTCAGGAGAATGAGCCTTCAACAGTCTCAATGTTCAAGCTGAGACAATAGGGTCAGGTTTCATAGGAGCTACTACCTGTCTTTGTATCCTTGGCATTATCATTGCCCATTCCAAACTCAGGCACCATATGGTTTTGCAGAAAGTTACTTGAAGAAAGGCTGAATTTTTAATCTGTGCGACTAAGGTTTGGTTGAAACTTCCAACTGGTTGAATGTTTTGTCTTGACATTGAGTCTGAAGATGTGGCATCACTGGCAAGGCCAGAATTTAATGCCCATCCCTAATTGCCCAGATACAACTGAAAACCTCACTCAGAAATAGTCCGTTTGAGACTGAGATGAAGTAAAATTTCTTCATTCAGAGGGTGTTGAATCTCTGGCATTCTCTACCCAATGAGGGAGCAAGCTCAATCATTGAATACATTCAAGACACACCAATAGATTTCTAGATGTTAAAGATATCAAGGGAATGCAAGGATGGTAAATGTTTGGAGCTCCCTTCCACAAGTGGCAGTGGATGATAGATCAGTTGTTAATTTTAAATCTAAGACAAATACATTTTTGTGAAGTAAAGGTATTAAGGAATATTGGGCGAAAGGCAGATGATCTCATTGAATGGGCTCGAAGGGCTGAATGGCCTACCCTTGTTCCTCTTTTACTCTAAAAGGGGATAGCGCGAGGAAATGATATTGAGGTAGAATGATCTAACAGAATGGCAGAGTAGACTCAAGGGGCTAAGTAGCCTACTCCTGCTCCTATATGCCTAATCCTAATGCTCAGTCACTTCAGACAACAGTTAATGGTCAACCACATTGCATGTGAAACTGAAGGCACATATAGATGCAGGCAGACTAAGATTAGCAGGCTTCCTCACCCTGTAAGAACATTGTGAACCAATTAGTTTTTTTACAGCAATGTGAAAGCCTCCACAATCAATTTTACTAATACCAGCTTTATTCTCATGTACAACAGTTCAACATCAATACATGATTCATGAATATCTTCGTGAGAGGATTGAATGGATACTTAGTTGCAATGATGGGTGAACCCAGCAGGAAGTTGGGAAGCAGAATTAGGATGAGAAAGGTAAAGAGATGGTGGAAAGGTGGCCTATTTATACACACATTTTATTAGGTTACAGAATCAATAATAAAAGTTTTTATTGAGCCAGAAGAAGCCGCAACATTTTTTAGTGAATTAATCCAACTCCTTGAAATGGAAAGGCAACCAGGAATGTGAGGAAAAGCACAGACAAATGGGATTAGAGGAGAGCTCAGATGGGGAATTGAAACCCAGAAGGTGAGAAAACAAAAGCAGATAATGATTAGGAGAGATGTGAAAATTCATGGAAAATAACTCCGCTCTTTGGTCCATTTCTAACTTCATTTTTCTGTATCACTCCTTTCCCTTCGCTCTCCAGCTGCCTCTGGTAACCGCAGATCACGAAGGCATCAGCATAAATCCAGCAGAAAAGACAAGCGAAAGCACAAAAGGAACCTGGACTTTCATCAACTAGATATGAAGCCCTTCTACTGAGCAGACCAGGCACTGAGCGAGAGTTACGAGGTGGGGGGGACAGGGTTGCGAGTTCACAATACTGAAATCTTACAAAACGTTTCATTTCAAACACCACCCCTTCAGGGGAAGGAAGGGGTTGTTTTTTTTTTAGTTTCCGAGAATTCTGTCACGTATTTTTCTAAAAAAATTATTGTGGGGCTTAAAGAAAAATGTTGTTGATTGACAGTCACTGGTTGGTGAAATGAGAACAGTGACTAGGATCACTGAAGAAACAACAAATATTTAATCTCAATTGTAAACAAAAGACTATCCCATAATCCTTTACTATTGGAAAAGGCACAATAGTATTTTCTGTTACGTGATTACTAGATTACAAATGAGGCTGGTTTAACAAAACAGAACTAGATTGATTATGGGCCCTAGTAGACACTTCCCCATATAACTGCACTGTGCCATGCTAGTAACAAACCCATTAACGTATTTGCCATACCCTTTCTAAACTCGTTAAACTCCATTAATTGAAAACAGGTTAACATTTTCATTAAATAACAGACAGAGAAATTTTGTAGAAATGCTTTATTGGGTTTCCTTACTGGCTATTGCCTACACCCTTCGACTGCAGCTCCAATTAAAGCCAATTTCTGAAGGAAATGTTAGTGGTTTGGTTTTCCAATGGGGGGGGGGGGGTTAATTGTCCATGACAAGGATTAATCACAGTGGAGCGTTGTCCTGCATGGAGAACATCCAAACACCCACTTCTCCAATAAAATTCAACGGAATAGTCAGTGGCATCAGCTCCTCCTGAGCCCAGGAGTCACTATTTCAGCACTGACTGGTGGTTAAAACTAGAAACCTCCTGATTTTGTGTGGGCCAATCATACATTTATCCATCAAGCCATTGAAAGAAAGTGATTGCTCGTGATGGGAAGTAAGATTGGACTCTAGTCAGAGAGAAAGTGATGTTAATAGGGTCCTGAAAGATGGGCAGATGTGAGACATTGAGCTTAGCATTTATTCATCCTTCAGCCTCGTGGCTTCACCTTCACATTATGGCCACAGGTAAAGGTACATTTTTGTTTCTGAGATTTGGAATGTGAGTTAGGCATTGCTTTCTGCAAAGGATCTGAGGTTTTCTCAGACATGGAAACTGTAGAGTCAAAGAGAAGCACAAGAGATGCCCAATCAGCCCATTGACCCACTGCTGCATTTTGCAAACCCAATTTAACTAGTTTTACTCCCCAACCCTTTGCAAAATATCCTTGCAGACCCTTTCCCACCTCTCACTGATCTGACTTCCTTTTGAAAGTTATGATCAAATTTATTTCTTACTACCCTTTCACAATGTCAGGTCATGGTCAATCTAATCACATGACTAATCATGTTGATCTAGTCTGACTGTAGCTTGTGCAGGTCAAGAAATAGCCAACTCCCCCATCCCCCTCAGGCAGAGCTGAGGGTTCTGAATGTGAGGTTACCAACTCTGCTCCTGCGTGTTCCAGGATGTTAAATCACGTGACCGTCTGCCTCCCAGTGTTCCATCTCAAACCTCCTCCCACTGGTCCCCAATGAGAAAATAATAATCACCCAACCAGCTAACTCTTGATCGTCGGTCTAAGCAATTTCTGTCTCGAGATGCAGCTGACAAATAGGGGTCTTGTGTTGCAGAGGTAGTGTCTCTACCTCTGAGTCAGGAGGCCTGTGTTTAAATCTTTACCTGTCACAGAAGGTTGTCATAACATGACTGAACAGTTTGATTGGAATGACTATGGGAATGCACTGGTATGCTTTTGGGGGATCTACTAAGGCAACCAGTGGCAGTCCTATCCCTGGGTCATGAGTTCCAAGTTCAAGTCCCACCTGCTCCAGAGGTGTGTCATAGCCAGTCTGAACAGGTTAATTGAAAATACTTACAACCAACAAACAAAAAAATGTTCCTACGAAAATCACACAATTCTTTAAAGTTGGTTCCGATGCTTTGCCCCTGTCAGTTGTTGTTGTGTCCATGTGGCCAATCTTGCAGGGCTGGCAGTTCTTGAGCTTGGATGCCAGGTCATATGGGTCTTGTCCCAGGCCCCTACATTCACTGGCTAAAGCCAAGATCTTCATACCTGCCTACTGAATCCAGGTTCACCATTACTTACTCAACTACTCATTAACCAACTAGTTAATGGCGGGTTCATGGCCAGAGCTCATAGCCATTTTGGCTGCTTTCATTCTGTCAGATTCCTGTATAGCTGACAGAGGTTTCAACACAGTGGGGCTACTGTTCCATGTTTATTCACGCTCCTTCACCTCGAAATCTGCGTCAGATACAGACCTCAGAGGCTACTGGTCCAGATCTCGGACTGGGGTACAGAGTTTTGTGGAATAAGGTTTTCTAACCTGGATTTCTTCCCTCTGCCCCATTCCAAAAACTTTCCTCTAATTAAGAATGGTCTATTTATTAACGCACATTGGGAAGCCCAATGGATTGTTGGCTTTTATTTCACGGGGACTGGAGTTTAAAAATTGAGAAGTTTTGCTAAAACTACACATGACACTAGTCAGACCACAACTGGAATACTGTGACCAGTTTCAGTCTCCCCTTATGTAAGGAAGGAAATACTGGCATTAAGTCCAGAGAAGATTCACTGGGCTGCTGCTGGGTATGGAGAGACTGTCTTATGTGGAGAGGGTTTGTAGTTTGGGCATGTACTTATCAGAGTTTAGAAGAATGTGAGGTGATCTTATTGACACATAAGATTCTTAGGGGTCTTGAGTTGATGTGGAGAGGTTGTTTCATCTTGTGGGAGAGTCTAGGAGCAGAGGGCATCATCTCAGAATAAGTCGTCACCCGTTTGAGACAGAGATGAGGAGGAATTCCTTCTTGCAGAGGGGAATGAATCTTTACCATTGGGAGTTTTGGAGGCCGGGTCATTATGTTTATGTTAGAGAGAGACAGATGTTAAATCAGTAAGAGAATCAAGGGTTATGGGAAAATGTAGGAAAATGTCTTTGAATATTATTAGATTAGCCATGATCGCATTGAATAGTGGTAGAGATTTATGGAAACTGGGTGCAGGAGTAGACTGTTCGGCCCTTCGAGGCTGCTCTGCTATTCAATATGATCATGGCTAATCGTCTATCTCAATACCATGTTCCTCAATGCCTTTAAAATCTAAAAACTTATCTGTCTCTTCATTGAATATATTTAGTGACTTGGTCTCCTTCTGTGTTTGAGAATTCCACAGGTTCACGAATCTTTGAATGAAGAAAAATTTCCTCATCTCAGTCCTAAATGGTTCACCCTATAGACTGAGACTGTGTCCTCTGGTTGTAGTAGAGGTCCAACCAGCGGAATCATCCTCCCTCATCAAGTCAATCCAACCCTGTTAGAATTTTATTTTACTCAGTGAACAAATTGCCTACTTTGCTCCTATGTGTGGAGGTCACACACGACCAATTTTTGAATGAAAGGATTTTAAGGCGAATAGCCAAGACCTTTTCCCCCGGGGTAGGGGAGTCTAAAACTAGAGGGCATAGGTTTAAAGTGAGAGGGGAGAGATTTAACAGGGATCTGAGAGGCAATTTTTTCACACAGTGGATAGTATGTGTACGGAACGAGCTGCTGCAGGATGTGGGAGAGGCAACTAGAATTACAACATTTAAAAGATATTTTGACAAAAGTACACGGATAAGAAAGGTTTAGAGGGATACGGGCCAAATGCAGGCAATGGGACGAGTTCAGTTTCGGAAACTTGGTTGGCATAGATGAGTTGGGCCGAAGGGCCTGTTTCTGTGCTGTATGACTCGGTGACAGTATGAATCTATTTCAGAAAAAGATAAGTCTTTCCATCCAGAACCAACTTTAAAATGAGAATCACACTTCTTTGATTTGACACCGATTGATTATTTTTTAGTTTATGCAGAAAATGATGATAACAGTAGTGCTGCAGTCACTGATACAGGACGCTGGGGGAGAGGGGTTACTGAGTGACAGTGTGAGGGAGCTGGATT